CGAAGAACAGCTTGTACCGGAGGAAGCATTGATCGTCTCGGCGGGTCGTCTAACAAGATCAAGAGCCAGGAAGTTCAACCAAGCCATCAATGGATTACTCAAGGAGCTAAACAAGATTCAAGAAGATGTTGCTCAATCCTCCTTAATAGTGATCAAGGCTCAAGAGGTTCGGTAAAGGGTTAAGTGTTGCTTATGCATTCTTTTTCCCTTGTCAAGTTTGGTCCCAATGGGTTTTCTTGACAAGGTTTTTAATGAGGCCTAAGTAACACTTTCAAGCCTCTCTTTACCAGCCCAATTCGTGGTCCAAGGCCCACTCACAAAGCCTTGGCCCATTTTCCCTTTTTTCTTCAACTTAGCATTTATTACTTGTTGTTATTTCCAAGACTCTTTGCATGAGCTTGCATGAGTGTAATTTCCAAGACACTTGTGCATGTTCTTGCATGTTTTCTTTTCTTCTCTCCTCTCCTTCGTCCTCCCTTCTCTATATAAACCCCATGTATCTCTCTTTTACAAACCATCAAACATTTTATTCTAAAACTCTCTCTTTACTTGTTTGATCCGAAAAGTGTGTAATATCTTTTCAACTTGTTTTTTTTCTTAGTGCGTGATATCTAAGTTGGATCCAAGCTTGTAGTCTAAGAGTTTCTCATCCTTCTTGGAAGTACATCTCATTCTCCCCTTCATTCCGCTGCATCCACTCCATCTCGTCATCACCCTCATTCATCGTCATTCCGCTGTTTTGTTCAAGATCTATCCATCATTCACCATCAATCTCGCCACTTCCATTTCAAAACCATCAAAGTGGTCCTTGGAATATAGATTCACGGCAAGGAGTCTATCAGACTTTCTACCACAAGTGTTATTAAATAGGCAAAATATTTTCCTATTATCCTTGATTTTACAGCCGATGTGAGTAATCAAGAACAAATTAGTATAATTATAAGATGCATGAATATCTCATGTAAAATGATAAGAATAGAAGAGTATTTCTTAGAGTTTCTAAAGGTAGATGCTACATCAAGATTAGGCATCTTAAAAAAAAATTCATAATGCTCTTAAGTCGATTGACCTTGATATTGAGAATGTGAGAAGGCAAGGTTATGATAATGGTTCTAATATAATGGGAAAACACCAAGGAGTGCAAAAGCGAATGCTAGAAATTCATCCGAAAGCATTGTTTATGCCATGTTCTTCTCACTGTTTGAATCTAGTTGTTAGTGATATGACGCATTATTGCATAAAAGCTGTATTGTTTTTTAGGATTCTAGACTTGGTTCATGAAAATTACACGCCTAGACTTGGTTCATGAAAAACTTTTGGACGCAGTTCCGCCAGACCTTGTTATCGTCTCAGACCGACATTATTCCATTTATGCCAGCATACGAAAGGTACATACAACTTTAACACTTAGATAAATAATTGTATACACCAAAATCAAATTTAAAAACTCGTATAAAATATCTTATGTATGTAAAACTTAGCACATAAATTATTTTTATCACCCTAACATACTCTTGATTACCAAGTTTATTGACTAACCAAGCATGACTATTTTTAAGAGCTAGTACATTTTAAAATTCCAATTATTTGAAAGTATAATCTTTAGCAATCTAAACTTTGGATTATCGAGTTAGTCTCTATTATATAATATGCGCTGCTGGTATTCAATGGCTTCTCATGCGGCTTGTGTGCTGCATCTCAAAAGTAACATTGTTGCAAGTTTCAAATCAGAACCCCCTGAGCTGTTAAGGGCATACCACCTAAGCAATTTCAACAAGATATTTGCTGAGATCGGGGCTATGAGCGGTCCATGCGCCGATTACGTGACAGGAAATGGGTTTTAGCATTGGATGAGTTTGCACTTTTTGGAGAGAGGTACAACGTTATGACCAGCAACATCACTAAATCTCTAAACAAGAGACTATCCAGTATTCTCGATATTGGAAACTATACAGACTGCCCTTGTTACATGGTTTATTCTACGACGGGAGGCAACAAGGCTGGAGGACATCATTTTGCTTCCTAAAGTTACTGAAATGGTTATCATGAATTATGAGAAAGGATCAAGCTACTTGGTAGTGAAGATTGGTGACGGTCAATTGGAAGTTGGTGATGATGAAGACTCTACATTTGTTGTTCATTTGTTGGAGAGGACATTTCAGATATTAAATATACCTTGTTCACATGCAATTGTGGCAGCAATACGAGAAGGGGTGCAGGTGGACACACTAGTAAGGGTTCAAAAAACAGCGCCGCATCTAAGGTATTCATATGAGGGAATGATTATGCCATTACTAGACCACTAAAAAACAAATATTGTGACAAAACAAATTGTGACCGTTTGTGAGGTCACAGTATTATGACGATCTACATACTAAAGTGTGACCTAAATGGTCATAAATGCGTAACCATTTAGGTATAATACTTTGACTAACTTAAGATAACTAATTTTGGTCACTAATTATGTCGATTTTGGTACAAATTATATAGTCACAAATATAATTACGGATTTGTAACTAAATATGGTAACTAAAACATACGATTTTTGGGATTGAATTAACGTGACTTTTAGTTATAAATGAATTTTACCTACCTTGTCACAATTAGTCACTGTTTGTGAGACCCTGGTTTGCGGAGAGGCTTAAATGAATTAATTTGGCCACCTATTTCACCAAAGTGCACCTATCTTTTTGGTCAATGGTCCTTAGAGAACTCTACTGTAAAGAATGCTTATCGTGGAGTGATCAAACAAACGATAGGTGACCTTTCAGGAAGTAGTTGTCGAAACTCTGTAAATGAGGCCAAAACACAGAGAAGAGCATGTGGTGATTATAGGGTCGGTAATCGTCTTTACGCCTCCCGGACATAGGATACCAGCCATTTGTGGGCTCATGGGCCTAGTGAGGGGATATAAGCCCATTAAGAGAGGTGAGCCCATAGGCTGAGAATGAACATGGGGTCTATTGGTAGAGATGACGGTAGGGGAGTTACAAGTGGAATCAGAGCCAAACCTAGAAGAGTGTGGAGTAGTGGGCTCACACCGTCAGGGGGTGACGGTCTTGGTGCGCAATGGGAACGTTGTAGTCTATTAGTGGAGGAGAATTTTGAGACCCTGGTGCGCAATGAGGACGTTGTAGCCACCTATGTCACCAAAGTGCACTTATCTTTTCGGTTAAGGGTCTTGGGAGAACTCCACCATGGATGGGTGAATAATGTCTTTTAGCATTAATATCGTAATACCTTACTTGTTTACTCTTATACCTTTCCCAATGGTTGAATAATAACAATCACATATAAATACTACAAATTTATAGATTAACTGGTCCATGATAATGAAGCTCATAAATCTCTCTCACTACTCCATAGAATTCAGTAGCTTCTTTACTTGAGCTAGAAGATGTTGTACCTTTCATACAGACTTCATAATTGGCATTTTTTTTCTTTCCCATGATCATATGTATGAAATTAATGTCCAAGACAAAAGTACATTGGCCAACAAGTTACTTGAAACATTGGACCACGAACGAGACTCAACAACCAATATGGATAAGAATTATCCTTTCAAGTATGCTCCACCTATTTTAAAAATCACATATATACAATACATACCATAATATAAGCATATAACAAATATGGGAAAACGGGGAAAATCAACCCAAACTATTTCCCGAAGGTATTTTCATACCCAAACTCGCGTATTCTGAATTTTACAACCCAAACCAGTTTTCAATTCAAATAACCAACCTGAACTATATCAAATTTTGTCAATTTCAACCTCGACGTTAACATTATCCCTGCCCATCTTGAATATTTGGACAATTAAGCTTAAGCTTAAGCTTAATTTCTCTTAGTTTTTACAAAAGCATAAGCTTGATTGTCCAAATCTTCAAGATGGGCAGGGATACTGTTAACGTCGAGGTTGAAATCGACAAAATTTGATGTGGTTCAGGTGGGTTATTTGAATTCAAAGCTGGTTTGGGTTGTAAAATTCAGAGTACGCGAGTTTGGGTATGAAAATACCTTCGGGAAATAGTCTGGGTTGATTTTCCCCGTTTTCCCATAACAAATATATATCACAAACTATTAAAAATTAAACACTTACATGTTTTTGTAACCAGCTTAAATATTGCTTTTCTCTAAGCTTAGTTAGATTGTTTTCATTTATCCCATGATTAGCCACATTCATGCTCTCATCAAATAACCTATATATATACATAAGGAGTAATTACAAAGTCTTTTACTCGTTCTACAAAAATATAAATTAAAGTACATATGTGCAGATAAATCCTTTCAAAATATCTTAATTGACCGCAGTTCCACAAAATATAAGTATGTGCAATATTGCGATCTTTATCTTGAGCCATATTTTAGTATCTTTACCACTACCCCCTCCGTGCTTGAGAAAATATATATGGAATTCCATCAAACTCATATTTTTGTTTCTTTACCACTACCTCTCCATATTTTTGTTTTGATGTGTAGTTCAAAGTAATAACTACAAAAAGTAGAAATGTCTTCATTGATGTATTGCTCAACAATCAAACCTTCTACATTTTCCTTGTTTTTCACCTTCTTCTTTAGATGAGCCATGTATGTTTCAAAATAGTTATCCATCTCAACTGCACATGTCCATCAAGGGTTGCTTTGTCGCCATCGGTTAACATTTGCCTAGATTACAGTTTTTTTACAAATCTATTAATATCTACTCTATTTTCTGCTAACTAGGTTTTAATACTTTGAGACGTTCTATAAAAAATTTTACTAAATGTTTTGAACTTAGAACAGTTGGTAAAATTGGAGATTGATTGCTTATTAATGTTCACATGTTTTAGTATACGTATGGAAGAGACACATGTTGATTAGAGATTAAACCACTCTCTTTAACCAAAAAAAAAAACAAACCCCTAAAATCAATTTTCCCCAATTTCATCTTCTCTCTTATTCCCAACGAACCCTAATTTGCGATTGTTCAGATCAAAAGCAAAGATTTGTGTTCATCGATGGCGTTGATTATAAGAGGTGGAGAGCAAAGAGATTTTGCTGAAGACGGGCAAGATCAAGACGAGTTCCACATTGACAAGCTTGCTCAAGATTCTTACCCAGAAAATGACGACGAGAAAGAAGGTCGTCCTCGTGGTACGGATAGAGTATTTAGTGACATCGGCTGTGGTGATGGAACGATGTGGGAAGATAAATCCTTCTACAATGGAATCGCCTTCAAGGATTGTGTGTTGGATTATGCACTGCACACGGGATACAACCTGAAGCAGTACATGTATGATAAAGATAAGCTTTTGTTTAGATGTGTTGGGGAAAAGGGAAAATGTGAATGGAAAGTGTATGCTGCATCTCTGCCAAATGCATCAGTGTGGAAGATTACAAAAATACATAAATAAGCATTGTTGTACTCCTAATGGTATGTATGTGTTTTGGGATAAAACCTTGTCAAACTGCTTGTTTTCAGAACATGTTTTCATGTAACATGTTCTGCCTTTATGAAATGCAGATTGACATTTTCATTAAGAAATGCATACACAATTACAAACTCATTTTCTGTTGACAATAATCCAAACTGAGATTTGAGAAAGTTCCAAACTGATTATGACAATAATTAAACACAAGTACAATCTCATCAAACATGATATCTAAACAAACACAATTACAATAGCATACATGATCACAAACTTATAACGTAACACATATTTTAGTGGGTAAATAAGAGGTAGGTAATCTCTAGAGTTATGATAGTTCTAAACTTTGAGTTTGAATTTTTTTCTTTTTAGGGAATCGGTTAGCAATTCTGCAGTGGCTGTTGGAACTAAGAGAGAAAACAAAATTCTGTAATCTAATAATTGTGGCAGGAAAGCGCAATTCCACGATTGTGGGTAATCATCAAATAGTAGTGATATTAGTGGGTAAATAAGACGCATGAAATCTCCAGATGATAATTCTTAACTTTGAGTTCGAAATTTTTGCTTTTTTAAGGAAATGTCGAAACATTGTGGGTAATTATCGAATAGTATTGGATTTATCAGCGGCATATATATGTTAACTCCTAGAAATGGAATGTAACCGTTTACAAATCGCTTAACAGTCTGATTATAGCCTAACGCCTACAATAATTGATAATGATCACGGAATCTCAGCAAGACGCAAATAATACGGTTGTTGATAAAAATATTTTACGGATGAGAAAGATGGATATAATACAATAGTCTATGGCGGCTTTAACCTAGGATATGCAAGAAAGCCTTTCCATACAAAATGCCACCGTGGAGAACTCTTTCATTGCCTTGTTGGCCTCTACATGCTTGGCAGCATAACAGTTTTAAGATGTAGTTCCCCGACAATGACATTATCCTTGCGGAATTGTGTGTTGCAATCCATAAAAGTAATGAAGATCAATCGACAATGATACCCAATGTTTCCTGTCAAAGTTGAAAGGGATGTAAAGATGATTAACTTCGGTAAAAAGTTAAACCCACCCATATTCACCAATGCCTAGGAAGAGAGCAACAATCTCTTCTGGAAATTGAAAATCCAATAACTTAACAAGTCTAATATGTATTGTAACCTAAATATATTATCAGTAACCCTACAATATCAATTAGCTGATAACAATTAATGATGCAGATAAAAAAAGGAAAACCTAAACATATTCAACTTAGCTTTTGAAAAAGCAAAGAACTTGTGGCCAAAATTAATCAAAACATGTTCATTTTGTATCCAAACTAACCTCACAATTGCCACGGAGACGTTTAACGTTGGAAATCTTTAACGGGACAGAATGAAAAGATCCAACCTCGGCGGTGGATTCTTTGTCAGAATACTACAGATCGGTTCTTCAGAGGGGGACTTTTCTTGAATGGCTTGCACAGCCTATAGAATAACAACTTGATGCGTGAATAGTATCCCTTATACGTGATAGACTTCATCATCATCTCGAAGGAAACACGGCCCCATGGATACAATAGAAAGAATGAAAGATCTTCCGACGTTTCCGCATGCTCTTTGAGGAATTTCTGGGTAATGAGATATGGGGATAAAAATCCATCAACCAAAGCCAAGCAAGCATGATAGAAATTGACCCTTTCTCCAAGGGGTTCTTCGCCGTAAGCTATTTTCCGATTTGGGAGATCTAGGTTGCACATATGTCCAAGCGAAGAAAATATGAAAATTATAACTTAACTCAAAAATGTAGGTCAGAATATGAGGAGAAATTCACCAAAGAACATATATTCCGCTTACCGTTTACAGAGTATCTTCGATTAGTAAACAACAACTATTCGTCGATAGAGAGAGTTTGGATCCTTAACAAGGGAAAACGAAAAACCTACTCTGATTTTGCAATAAGTAACTGTTGATTACACCACCAAGAGTGATGTAGCTACATCTACGTATCATACAGCTCACAATTTCCTTATCTTATTAGGCTTCTATATTTTATCTTAATACTTATATGGGCTTTTATTTATCACATTAACAATGTCGGCTAAGGAGTTGCTTTGTCTCCAAGCTTAGACGTCTAGGGTTTATGGTTTTAAAGAGTATAAGTACTCACATTATTGTAAGCTTATGACTTGGTTGTTTTTGAATAATAAAACGAGAAAGCTTTTATTTTCCTGAAGTCTTTGAATTCTTTGATATTGTGATCCATTGATACACAAATCTTAGAACTCTTAGCTGCGAGACGTTTCTTTAGAATCCCTTGATCTGTTAAGGCACTTTTCGTATTAACCGCTTCATTAGTTGGTATCAAAGACAAACCGATCCTCATCATGCCGCCAAAGAGGACCCTACAACAGCAACTTGACGAGCAGAACGATGTGTTTAGAGGAATGATGGCTGAGTTTCAACAAAGCAGGCGTGACACCTTACGCACGACGGTTGAAGCATCAGTATGTTCAATTTTGTAAGCACACCAAAGAGCTCCGAATTTGCAGAGACAGGCTGATAAACTCTTTGAAGAAGATGACGATGGAGAAGATGTCCTTGGTAACAGCCCTTTTGCTAGGTTAGGCAAACCTGCTCAACAACGTGACATTATTCCAGCTCAACAAGTTAACCATAACAGATGGGAGTCCGGATTCAACCTGTATTTACCTGAATTTTTTGGGGGTTTACAACCAGAAGAGTTCTTGACTGGCTGTTGGAGTTCAAAGATGTCCCTGACGCGATGCGTGTACCTTTCATAGCTAAACGTCTACGTGGTCGACCTTGAGCATGGTGGCAACAGACCAAAGAGACTCGCTTACGGGCCGGCAAAGAACGTATTCTGTCATGGGAGAAGATGAAAAAATTGATGCAAAGAGATTTTTTTCTTTCACTTATACTAGAACGATGTATACTCGTTTGAAGAATTTGAGACAAGGGACTAAAATTGTGGATGATTATGCTTCTGAATTTTTTCCTTGTCGGCTCGAAATTCACTAACCGAGATTGAAAAACATATGGTTTCGAGGTTTATTGGAGGCCTGCGTTTACCGATTCAGAACATGCTACTCCAGTCGAGCAGCAAACGCGGAACCAAACATCTGCTTGGAATTCACAACGTCCTCGCCACGGCTCTGTTTCTAAAACCGGAATTTCGAAATCCATGGAGCCACTGAAATTGATTGAGTCTGCTGAGAATACTTCGTCTCTTGGACAACAACGTAGTGCTACGTTTAAGTGTTTTAAGTGTGGTGAACAAGGTAATCGTCAGTCAGCCTGCCCTAATGCACATCGACACGTGGTCTTCTTGCTCGTAGTGATGAACCTATCTATGATACTTATGAACACGATGAACTAGATAATGAGGCCTATTCAGAACAAGTGATTGGGGATACGGGTACCATGCTGATGATACGTCGGAATCACCTTCTTCCTCGTGGAGTGGAGGAGTCTTGGCTTTGCACTAATATTTTTAGTCCACCTGTACGATTCGTGGCAAGGTCTGTCGTATGATAATTGATTCAGGTAGTTTTACTAATGTTATTTCAGAAGAAGCTGTTTCCAAACTCGCCTTGTTTACCGAATCACATCCAACTCCTTATTGTTTAGCATGGCTGAATTCTTCCACCGACTCCCGTCTGTCTAAGCGTTGTCGTGTTCCATTCTTGATTGGTGCCAATTATAAGGACTTGGTTATTTGCGATATTCTTCCTATGGATGCTTGTCATCTCCTCTTAGGCAGACCTTGGCAGTATGATCGCCGCATCATGCATGATGGATTTGCTAACACTATTATTTTTACTTACTAAGGAAAACATATCACTTTGTTGCCTTCTTAAACAACTTCCGACACGGTGATCACAACCAAAGATGTTGACAAAGCCCATGTTCCTACGGCGCCCGTGCTCTTGATTAATAAGTCACAGATTTTCGAAAATGTCACGCTGCTCATGTCGCTGTTCTGCTTGTTTTAAAGCCGAGTGTTGAAGCTGTTTTTGCTGCAGCTCCTGAAGCTTTTCATGACTTGTTGAAAGAATTTAGAGATATTTTTTGATGAATTAACAACTGGTTTGCCTCCGTTGACAGATATTCAAAAATGTATTGATTTAGCTACTAATTCTGTGTTGCCAAATCGACCGCATTATTGTATGAGTCCAGCTGAACATGACGAGCTTCAACGACAAGTAGAAGATCTCCTGTCCAAGGGTTATTTGCGCAAGATTTTGAGTCCTTGTGCGGTACCGACTCTTCCCATCCCTAAGAAAGATGGAACATGGCGTATGTGTGTGGACAGCAGAGTGATTAATAAAATAATTGTGAGATATAGATTTCCTATTCCTCGTCTTGATGATATTCTTGATCAAATTGGCTTAGCAAATATTTTTACTAAGCTCAATCTAAAGAGTGGTTATCACCAAATCCGTATTCGTCTGGAGGATGAGTGGAAAACGGCATTTAAAACACGTGAAAGTTTATTTGAATGGTTGGTCATGCCTTTTGGGTTGTCTAATGCGCCTAGCACTTTCATGCGTGTTATGAATCAAGCTTTACGTCCATTGATCAGTAAATTTGTGGTCGTTTATTTTGATGATTTCTTGATTTTTATCTCATCTCTCTTGGTATATCTTGACCATCCACGTGAAGTTCTTGTTGTGTTACGACGAGATAAATTGTTTAGGGCTGTTAAACACATGCATCTTGGTTTGCTTATTCGCAGCAATTTACGTTTGTGATAAAACAAAAAGCAGGGAAACTTAACAAGGTTGCCGATGCATTAAATCGGAGGCATTCTCTCTTGACAACCTTACATGTTTCTATCCTGGGATTTGAGATGCTTCCTGATCTTTATTCTAGTGATCCTTTTTTCTAAAATTTGGAACGATGTCGAACAAGGTCTTGGTGACGTTTATCTCATTTTTGATGTTTTGTTTTGTTTTGTGGAGCTCAATTGTGTATTCCCGAATGTAGCTTCCGGCTACAGCTTATTCATGAGCTCATGGAGAGGGTCATATTGGTAGAGATCGCACACTCAAGCTTGTGAGTTCGTCATATTTTTGGGCGACATTGCGTCGAGACGTTGAGCGTTTCATTGTTCGTTGTGGGATTTGTCAAGTAGCAAATGGGAAAGCTACAAACTCAGGTTTATATCTCCCTCTTCCTATTCCAACCCAACCATGGACAGATATCAGCATGGACTTTGTGCTTGGGTTACCGCGGACTCAAAGGGGTAATGATTCGATCTTTGTTGTTTTCGATCGTTTCTCTAAGATGGTTCACTTTATACCTTGTAAGAAGAGCACCGATGCTGTTCAAGTTTCCGTATTGTTCTTTCAAGAAGCTTACAACCTTCATGGCCTTCCATTGTCTATTATCGCTAACTGTGACTCTCGTTTCTTGAGCCATTTTTGGCG